ATAACAATTTTTATTGGTCACCTGGGGATGCAGAGAAGATGCGAGCACAGTATTGACATATTATCAGCATACATTATTTACACATCCAGCAGACATGGAGCAACATTAGGATTAATTAAAGAGTTTTGCTAAAAATGCCTGAGGCATTCGATAACGATGCTATGAGAGCGGTGAGAGTAAACCAAAACACTAAAGTTGCAGGCCGGACAGCTAAACAATGAGCTGAAACTTGATGTAAACCTCTGTAAAGCTGAGGAGAGCAGGTGTTGATTCTCTGTAGGGTCATTATCACGAGCAATGCCTTTCACATTATTTTTACAATGTTAATAGAATGAACACTCCAAATCACAAATTAATTTAAATAGCATTGGGATCACAATGTTGTCTGTTAAAATAGGTTAAAATAAATGTGATGTTTGGAGTCAGTGTGCCAGTGTTACGTTTTCCTTTGTGCTACCACCATTGTCATGTGCTATTCTTTAGTACTTTCAGCCTCCTCCTCCTCATTACAAACACTAATTCACCTTATATTGGCTAGTATGTCCCAGTACTGTCAATATTACTATTAGGAGATTTGCATCTCCAAAGCTCTGTTCTTCGGGTATACCCCGATCCAAATCTGAAGCATGGGAGCAAAGCCACACCACTAAATCCAGCTGTAGTACCAGTCTTTGCAATATGGTTTGTCTCATGAGAGTGACATTGTGATACATTAGACATCGTGTTGAATTTACATGATAAATGAATACTGTGCTGGGCTGCCTTTAAGAGAAAGACTTTAGTTTGCATTGAAACCTCCTCTCTTGTATGAGAAGTCCAGCAAATAAAATGAAATGAAGCAGAAGAAAAAGTATATATGTGACAGTTTTCTCTTTCTACAAATATAATCTGGCATTTAGAACTAATCCTAGTCTATAGAGGAGCCGTGCTGTATTGGAGGTGACTGAGCCGGGTGATTTATATGACGAACACTGGCTTCATGTTCAGTATTACATTATCGCTATGACAGCTGTAGATTACGCACACACATCTTTAATAAGTCCTGCAAGTGATGGAGAGGTCTACTTTTGCGTGTTGGATTGTTGTGAATCTACACCCTTGGTGTTTTTTTCTGCATGTGTGTAAGCAATGTCAGTATGTGAAGTGTCTGTGCATTCATGTGCACATCCAATGTGTGTGTGTGTGTGTGTGCAGCTGGTGTGAGTGTTTTCCATTTTGTGTGCTGGGGCTAGAATTGGCCTGTCAGTCACAGTAAAGAGGGGAGGAGTGGGAGACGACAGGTGTCTCAGGGAGCGGGGGAGGGAGGAAAAGAGAGAGCGTGAAAGAGAAGGGCAAAAGAGCAAAAGAGGAGGAGGAGGAAGAAAGTGAAGTTTGGGCAGCCAATGTAGAACTTTTGTTGTTTTCCCAAAGTGAAATTCTAACAGCAATGCATTAGAAATGTTTGAAAGTTACTAGGTTTAAAGATTATTTGTATGTCAGTGATAGCTAGTTTTAGAGCCTAGACATTAGAGGCAGTGGTGGAAATAGGTGGGAACACACTACAATGCTGTTCAGGGACTAAAAGGAAGGAGGGCTCAGATTTCGAAAATCTATGGTTTATACAGGAAATCAAGTTAAATTGGGCAATGTATTTTTTTTTACCTCATATTCATAGCCAATCCAATTGTCTTGACTTCAAAGTGTCAAATTGATTTGATATAGATATTGTACTTTTCATCTCTCTCTTAAAAAAAGTTTTATGAAATATCTGATCCATACCACCAACCTTTTTTTATTTAAAGATATATTTTGGGGCATTTTTGCCTCTATTTTTGAGATGCAGGAAAATCGATAGCAGTAGGAAACAGGGAGAGAGACAGAAGGCAACACGCAGCAAAGGGCCACAGGCTGGACTCGAAGCCAAGCCGCTGCAGTAAGGTCTCTGCCTTGTACATGGGGCAGGTTCTCAACCAAGCGAGCTACACTACACTCCCTCTGCCCAACATTTAACTGGGGGACACTGAACAAGAAAGATTTCCTTTAGTTAGAGGAAATAATCCTAATTTCCCAGCAATGCTTCGCTGCCCAGGGTAGAGCGCCCCAGGCTTCAGAGGCAGATGCGACAACAGCAGGATGACAGGACAGTATACAACTGCCCCCCTTCAAAACTTATTCCCCACTGTTTGTCATCATTCCTCTTCACCACTCGTCAATACGAGCGTCATGATGAGTCTCCGTGTGGAGACAGGACTTGTTACCACACGTTTTGTACTATGCACTGTTGTTGGCAAAAGTGACTTTTTTATTGCTGGTGGTTGTTTCTCAGACATTGTGTTTGCAAAACATATACTGTACAGCCAATATTGAGCTTGACTGAGTGAGAGCATGCGTGAGGAGGGGGCTGCAAAGCGTGTGCACGAGCAGTGATTGACACTGCGTTAGAGACTGCCAGAGGAATCAGATTTTTTTCACAGATTATCTGTCTCATATACTACTGTCAGGATATAGTAAGAGTTTTAGCAAATATGACAAAAAGTTATGAAAAATCAAAAATTTACTGTGAACATTGTGTTACGCCTGTGGCTTCTTCACATTCACCGTGTGATTTTTCATTGCTTAATAATGCGACCTACCAGCACCTCACTGTTGTTGCTGTGCACAGGGAATTTCTTGTTTTAGTATACTGCGTAGAGCACACACAATGCTAGGCAACGCAGTGGTTGTACTCACCTGTCTGAATGTCATTCTGTGAGTCTTGTGCACCACAAAGTCCTCAAAAATTTGCTACTGCTTCAACTTCTTTGCATGACCATTCTCAGTTTACATTATAACCATTCATCTCAGTCTGTCCCATTATAACCGGTCTGCTTAACCAATGTCCCAACATAACAAGTCCACCTTTCTCAAAGTCAAACATTTTACGCTGAAAGACGCTCCACAGTCAAAGTGAAATGGTCAGAAAAAACAGAAAGTGTTTTGTGTTATGGTTTTTGGGGTTAATGTTCGTATTTTTCCATGGTATTCTAGTTCATGTCCTTTTCTGTGTGTTTTAGTACATTTATTATTCCCATGCTCTGCATTCTTGACTAGGTTTGATTTTGTGACAGAAACATTATTTGGACAAACTAACACCCATAAACAACGCAGATCCATATGACTTAGCAAGACTGGTTTACAGACCCAGCACTGCCTTCACTCACATACCCTCACACTGTCAATTACCTCGTTTTTGGACAGAGCGCGTACACTTTGCGTGAGTTTGAAAGATATAAATTGCTAGAAGCGGTTTTGCAGGCTGGCCGGAAGATCTGCTCATTCACAAGCTGGCAAACTGCTTGACCAAAGGTAAGATGTCGCTCCTCTTTTTGGCCCAATTATTAAACCAAACAAAATCCGAAAGGACCACACAACATGGAGGAGTAAACATAATGAAGATTTCATTTACCCAAAATTCAACACAGCATGACATCAACTTCACATTCCCTATGCCAAGGTACAAATAATGCTAAGAAACCCAGCTTCAGACACACTGACAGACAGACAGATGATCCCACACACCAGCAGCTTCTCTTCTCTTCTCTGAGGCAGCTGCTGATTTAACACCTTTCTTTAGTTCCATTCTTACAGAACTTATCACATTCCTGAGCTGGCTTTTCCACCTAATTAATAACAAGCAACTTCGGGTAGAAGAAATTTCTGTTTCTATCGCATTTCTTGTGCTTTCCCAAATAACGTATTGGTTATTTGGGTACATCCCAAAAGGACATGAATTAATGTAAATATTGAAAAGGGAATTCTGAGGTTGAGGAAATTAACAATCGTTTCATTTTTTAATACTATAACACTTAACATTTATTTGGAACACCTACAAGATAAATGCTATTTCCTAGGAAAAATATTCTCCTGCACAGCCAGTGATATATTTTTGAGAATAACCGTTTAATATTTATGAGAGCAATAACAATAGTTTGTTTGGAACAAATAGAAAGTTCAACACAGAACACAGAAAGCTCCTGTCTACACTGAGTGTATTTATGTTTATTTAACATGTTGGAGCAGCCCCTGCACCGAGGGTAAAACATCACAGCAATGACTTCTCACCAACAGTGTCACCAAAGTCAAGACAAACAAGAACTGTGCACACTATCATGTTAGGGAAACAGAATCAAAAATGTTTTGGCTGTGCGTATTAAAAGGGAATCTGAATTTGTAACAAATCGTGTTTGTCCTACAGCTCCATACAGACCACTGACCACTTCGTCTACACATCTATGACAAAATGAGATGCGTCCACTCACATATTTGCTACCCGTTCTTTTCAATTCTCTCAAGCACATCCACACATTTCGCTCACACCGCTTACACCGCTCACACCGTTTCCTTCTTTCAGCTCATCACTCTTTTCTATCTGCTACTCCTTTTCTCCTTAGATTTGCTTCCTAAAGGGCTTGAGGATGATGGCCATGAATATTTCACTTAACTGCATTCTCATGTTATCAATAATAAAATGCCATTTTCATATAAATATTCTAAAAATACAGCTGGACTCTGCCTCTTCAGTGGTACATTAAAAATTCATACCCATCTAGCAAACTGCTAAATCTCCCACCATAGCTCACGCATATGGACATGACCGCTGGACTATGTGCAGGTGTTTCCTTCTCACATTTGTGTTTTTGTGCATGTTTGTGTCTCTGTGTGAGTGTGTATTTCTGGCACATCTTAAGCTTCTCACAACACACTGTCTTGGAGAAGCAGTCCAATTCAGTTAAAGCCAGAAAAGTGCTAAGGGAGGTGATTCACATTGTCAACAGTCTGAATCACCACAGCCTAATACTAAAGCACTCTAACATTACAGGCAGTTAGACAGACACACACGCTATCCCCAGCCCAGACGCACACTCGTACGAACACATCCCATATTCAGACTCAAATACTGTCTCTTACTCGCTCAGTCTGACGCACATGTGTATACAAATACACTCTGCTTGTCTCCCACACACACCATTTCCCTCCCTCACCGTGGTGAGATGTCACAGCCCTGTTGCATGAAGGCTCCCAGAGAGAACCAGAGGGAGTTGAAGATGCCAAACTCGTTGGGAGGTTGGTCAGTGGGGCCCAGTTCTGCTGTGCCTTCCTCTGGTTCCTCTGCATGCCACTCGTAAGGGCTAAAGCGACTCACCTGAGACAGTGAAGGAAAAAATAAGAGTTTAGAGGTCTGTAAAGGAAAGAAAGAACAGCCTTATTCTAGTACAGGCTGAAGTAAATGAACAGCTAAATAGCACAGACAAAACCATAGAGGGTAAATATAATGTGACCGTTGTGGAAGAGAAAAATGTTTCCTTGAATAAGCAGACACTCTGGTGTCATAGGAGTTATGCTGACATGATCTTGACTATGTGAATGTCTTAAATATCGCCCACATTAAGTATTTGCATATCTTGCATACAGAGATGTCTTTTAAGTATCTAATGATTTCCAGAAGCTTTCTTCAACATTGTAAAAAAAAAAAAAAAAAACATTACTGTGAGGGGGTAAAGGCAAGATCGCTATACTTGATTTTTTTTTTTACTTTGTAACTGATTACTCAAAGCTATTACATCATCAGAAAAGGGCATCCAGCAGTAAAAACTGCAATGAAAAGAAGTCTCATCTCCTCTATCTATATTATTAAAATTGACCAAACTGATTTCTGATCAGCAGGAAATGTGTCCTATAAGGATCTAGAAGGTCTGATAGGGCACTATGTGCTGTAGCCCACAACATTTTTAGCCTGTGTGAGCAACAAATAAGACATCTATTCTTTCATCTCCAAGCCTTTTAAAACTCTTCAAACTGTTACAGTCCTGCAATTTAACTCAAGTGCATCACTCACCAAAAACAGCACAACACTGACTCCAATGTAAGCGAACACTATGCACATCCAGATCTCGTAGGCCAGTGGGTCCAGGAAAGAGAAAACACCTGGTTTAGACTTCTGGGGCTTCTTGATCATGATGGAGATTCCCAGAGACATGAAGGGCTTCGAGAAGTCAATCACTTCTTCTCTCACCAGAGTGATGGTCAGCGGGGCCACAGCAATTTCTGCTTTCTGCAAAGAGGCAGTGGGGTGAAAAGTATGTGTTTAATTTAGGTTATTCATACGTCACTGCATTTCATTTGCAGTAAATTTATATAAAAAGGGCGAGTGATGGTAACTCTCTGTGAACTCCTTTATCTGTAGAAGGGGAACATCTGAGGACAAAGCTGAAGGATTGAGAAATATAATTTGAAACACAAGGTGCAGGCAAAGTAGACACACACAGTAAGGATCAGCGGAGTTTGAAGCAGGAGCAACATAAGGAAGGGAGTGAAGGAAATAAGGGAGGCAAAAAAAGGCAAGTGGTATAGCAGGAGAGAGAGATAGGTTGAAAGAGACACAGGAGGTAAAGGGGAAACCAGTAGAATGACAGAGAAGTAATTCATACGTAGGCATGAAAGTCACACTGCCAGAATATAAATTAGTCTGCAAGGTCTCACACACACACACACACACACGCAAAATCTGTAGTCAAAGACATAATTCATTCAGCACACTGAGTATCTGTCTCTGAGTAGCGACGTGTGTCTAAACAAGTCTGCAGTCTTGATCTGAAAGAGAGGCTACAATAACAGCATATCAAATAACAAGGGTTCCTTCGCTACAAGGAGTGAGGGATGCTACAATGCAAGGAGAATAAATAGCAAAAGAAAGACAAGGAAGTCAGATGTGATAGAAAAGAAAACAGGGAGGGCAGAGGGATATGAAAAACTTCAAAAAAGAAAGAGATGAAATAAATTGGAGACAGAAAGCAGGAGACATAAGTACACATCATGAAAGAAAAGGAGAAGAAAGTCACAAAAATAAACAGTGAGTGCGGGACACAGAGCTATAAACCAGAGCAAAGCAGAGGACAAAGTGCTGAAATCTTATGAACATATTTCTCTACGTGGCAGAAGAGTCATCAGAAAGGACTGCGGGTGACAAATCAAACCTGATTAGTCAATGCAGCGGTTCTGCCGTGTCACCTTCCACTATACGGATTCTGGAGGCTAATTAATTCGGTCGCTGTTCAGCAGCAACGTCTCCACTTTCACTCTTCCGCATAGTGACGAATGACATTGTCTTCTGCATGCTGATAAAGTTTGCGTTGAGACAGTGAATGTGAAATCTCAGACCGTGCATGGTCGTGAATGGCATACTGTAATTAGCCAGCTTGCCAAATTCTTAAGAAATAAGTGAACCCTTGGAGAAACAGCATCTCTGCAGGAAACTGAATTGGTAACTAAGGAGATGCAGAGCTTGAGACAAGTTTATGTACTCTGGAAGAGTTATTTTGAGCATTTCTCAGCTTTGGTGATTGCATGATGACCCGTGGTGGGGTCACAATTGCAGGAGTACATATAATGCAATGTAATAGCCCTGCAGTACTGTATATGTGATATCTATGAATATTACAATGTTCAACACAATTTCTCTGTGGCTTTAATTTGTGATGTTGTTTTACTGGAATGCATTACTACTGTTTTGTAAGTTGTTATATTCTCCTATCCTGTGTGTATAGTACAGTGTCATTCTGAAGAATTTGAACACTTGACATGTTTTATTGTGTATGGATTATTGAAAAAAGTACAGATTTAACAACAATTCAAATGTGGCTGTAACACAACCTCTTAAAATACAGTGAGTTCAGCAATTCTGAAGACAAAGTCTGTCGATATGTGTCGATGCTGAATTAATGACTTGATTAACCAAATGACAGAAATTGTATTGAAAACTATTTTGGTGATCACATAATCGCTTATTTGATTTTAAAGTTTAAACATCATTTGTTTTCTCACTGCTATGCCCCCTCCTGCTTTCACTGGCTGGGTACACTTTCAACTGATACATATTTTGACAACTAGTCACCTCAATTCTGTCAATGTTTATTTCTTATACTCAGTCCCGTATTAACTTTCTTGTATGTCTGTCTGTCTACTCATACATACAAGATCTCATAGTTATGTTTCTAATGTTTGTAGCTTATCTTAAAGTGTGCCAAAGAACTATAAATAAACTGAAGTTGAATTCAATCAGATTGAACTAACAAACCATTTAAAGACATCATCTTCGGATCTGAGAGACTGAAATGGACATTCACCCCAGTAGCATTAGATACACTATACAGTGAAACAACTCATCGTAAACGTTAACTGACGATACAATCAATCTTTGCAAACTCCAAACTCACCCCATACACAAGCTCTCCAACCATGCCGTTCCATATCTTCGTCTCCGGATCTCTGGCTCCATATTTCCCATCTGGCACGATGGAGATCTTGTATTTGATTCCAATGTGCTTGGCGATCTCCGAGGCCAAGTCCACACAGTATCCCTCAAACTGGTCGTTGCCTTCATAAAGTTCCCAGTTCTTCTTCAGCATCACATAGGGACCCTCCTACAAAGCCAGCAAAAGGGGAGAAAGACACAACTGTTTGGAGGAACATGACGGCATGGTTATTAAGGAGAAGGGAAAGCAGCAGTCAGCAGATTGGTTATAAACATTGTGGCACAGGGAAACACATACTGTACAAAGAAAATGAAGATAATGACAATTATTCCTGGCGAAAAAATGTAGGTACATACATTTTCAAAAGAAACATACAGTTCTATGAAATACACCAACGCAATGCTACAGACACATTTCAATTCTGCTTTGACAAATTAAACTGGACACCATAATTTTTTTTTTTAATTATAGGAGATAAATATGTTGCAGACAATCTATGTTGTCATGAAATCACCCGAAATTTGATAGAAACAGTTGCACACAGTTGTTTATAAAAGGAAAAATATTAGAACTGTTTTTGAAAGGCCATTTCTAAGTTAGATGTTTTATTTCTTCTGACTTCTAGTGCCTTGTTTTGTGTCTTCGTCAGACTCTACATGCCTCCATTGGGACCTATACCTGACTCAGTAGAACACTAATGCTGAGAGGAGAGAAATGAGGGGGAAATACAGCAGGAGAGATGAAAAAGAGGAAGACTGCTGCTTTGGTAATGTGTTGTAAGAGGGAGAATTATTTCTGTGCATGCAGTTAACAAAGATGAAAGCAAACAGAGAGTTTAATTTAGTTGTCTACAGAGATGGTGGGTGTATTGATAAACACAGACACAAGCATGGTCACAGAGAAGCATGCACACGCATTACCACACCAATAGATACCCAGGGTATTCTCAGAGAAAAGAAACAGACACAGACTGAGTGACACCGTATCCACCAGGAGAAGTGAGTTATGGTATAATGCCTGAGGCTCATCACCCTGTAATCCAACTGAAACCAAGCCTATTAAAATTCTATCAAACCATTTTTAATCAAAGACTAATCTCATCTAATTATCAGACAAGCTTGTATAATATCCAACACTCCCAAGCTATAAAACGGTTTATGAAGCTCATAAAACACAATAAAAAATGATAACGTATTTTGGATTGAATTCTTCATTTAGACAATTGATTCACATAACAAACAAGTACAGTTTAATCAAAGAGGATTTTAGACTCTTTTAAAAGGGTCAAATGAGAAATGAAATCATACTGACACAGATTTGGAGAGAATTACAGAAACCATCTTCAATCCAGGGAATTGAATTACACTGAGAGCAAGTCTAGATCAGAAGCAGGTAGGCAGAGGGATTTAAAAAAGATCTTACAATGCAAACTGGACTATACAAACAAATCATACAAAGTGAAGCTGGACTTATGAATCCTCTATCCTCTTTCTCTTCAGTAAGAGCTTTAAAAAACCCATTCCTTTGTGTACTTGCGAGGGGTGTCCACTTTCATAGTCGAATCAGAATTGACGACGATGGATGGATGGAATCAGAATTATCATGTCTTGACTATAGTCGACTGACCGTAGAATTGTCTGTATGTTACTGTAACTTACACTGTACATACAGCTAAACTGAGGCTTATTGCTGACCTTTTACTCACAGCTCTGCTCGCCTGCCATTCACCAGTCTCTATGGAGTTGTGCATGCCTGCTGAGATTTGCCTGCAAGGTGCACACACAACTCAACACCGCGGAAATGGTGCTATGTCTCTCTTCCACTTCAACCACACAGACTCTCTCTATCTCTCACACACACACACACACACACACACACTTCTGGATTTATTCACCCACTTTAAAATATTTATTTAAAGCTTTTTCTTTTCACATGTTTATTTACAGCATTATATGTTGATATTTATATCATAATATTTACTTATTGGGAGAAAACCGGTAGTTCTATGTAAAATCAGACATTGAGCACCCCATACAGCCAAAGTGGCATGATCCTCATTTCATAACACCTCGGCGAAGGTTTGCAATCGAATCAGGCTGCTTCTATCGAAGCATTGCAACTTTGATTATTCGGGGTCACCCCTAGTTCTTGCGTTTGACTGACAGGATATTTAACAAATTATTATGGTTATTAAGTATTTGTCCAGTACTTTGGTTACTTTCAAAACTAATGACATTCAGCCTCAGCTGTCCTGTGTTTAGTGCTAATTACCAAATGTTAGCATGCAAACACTCTTAACTAATATGGTGAACATGGTAAATACCTCCTAAACATCAACATGCTATCATTATCATTTTGAGCATGTTAGCATGCTAATATGAGCATTTAGCTCAAAGCACTGCTGTGCCAAATTACAGCCTCACAAAGCCCCTAGCATGGCTATAGACTCCTCCTCTCTCTTAATCCAATTATCTACCTAGTAACTCAGTTTCTTCAAGTTAAATGACTTGTAAGTTTTAAAATGCACTGTTAAGTATTAAGCCACAATTCCAGCAGTTGTCACAAATGTTATTTTGGATGTGCATGCCCATTCCTTTGTGCATAAACAAATATATTATAATAAGAATATTCTAACACTTACATATAAAAGGTTGAGAAACAAATATATATTTTAAAATAAACAACAAACATTGAACTGTTACATTTCTGACGTACTGAACCATTATTCAGTCATCAATATAAGATTTGTTCAAACAAAATACATTTCTTCTAAAAACATTATCATCAAATACAAACATTTTCCACATTGTCTACAATGTCAGAACATACAAAACATTTCTTCCAAAATGTCATTATCAGGGACATTAGCAAGTCCCCAGGCGCTCATTCCACTGACTCAACATGAATCATAATGTTAATGAACACAAAAACATTTTCGAGTAAATTCCCTCTAGTACTTCGACAAAGCCATGGATAGCCAGAGATAAAGAACAGAAGAGATGTGAGCTGAAAACCATGGTGTACAGTAAAGGACAATACCAGAGTGATTCAAAGTTCAAAGTAACCTATACTGTTTACACCTAAATTACAGTTTCACAATCACCTTGCTGCACATAACATACCCTCTATGATTTTTTTGGTTCTACCTTGTTGTGATACTTCCCAGAGATACACCAAATGGTATTAACAGAAACGTGACGTTACAGTTTCCGTCAAACATGTGTTTGAGAATTATTTTGTGGCAGAGATTATTTGAAGGTGAATGACACTAAGCTGCTCGTATGTTTGGTGCATGAAAACAACTCAATCTGAAAACACGGGCAAAGATAAAGCAAAAATTCTCTACAAAAATAAGGTGGACCTGACAATGACAATGCTGGGAATATTCAGCTCAGGTTTTTCTTAAGCAAGATGAAAAGAACACTGAAGCAAAGCTAACTGTTTTCAACTTTATGCTAACTTTAGCTAACCGGCTGCTGGTTTCAGCAACATATTGAATGGACACACATGAGTATGGTTTCGATCTCCTTATTGAACTCTTGGCAAGGAAGCGAGTAAGCGTAGTTCCCAAAGACAAACTATTCCTTTTAGCGTATTTATTTTGCACTATAATTTGTACACAGCGTGCTGAAATGTAAAATATGCTTTCTGGTGAATTCTTCTGATTCTGATTCTTCTTATCTCAGTGGGTCTAAAGCATTAAAAGGTGTCCCACATCGAGAGATCAAACTATTATTACTATTACATTATTAGTGAACCTCCCTTGAAAAATGAAGGTTGTATTGCTTCACTTTTCATCTCAAATCATTGACTCTTGAGGGAAATCATTTACTTAATTTGTTTTAACAAAGAGATTGCAGCATCTCTGTTGCCTCCATCATCAAATTGCCCTCAGATTTGTTAAAAAGTCAAGGTTACTTTGTTGAGTTAATTTAGTATTATGACGGCAACTAAACATAAACAGGCACACCGATACACCCATACTAGTGGAAGCTCTGCCAACAGCGTTTTACTTTAAAGCCTCCTTAAGGTTTGTTATCAGTTTGCCCCAGACACATTTGTCTCGGTGTGCAGGTAGTAATGCGAATGCTGTGTGCTGGATGTTAGTGCATGTATTTACTGCTGGGAAGAAAGCATCATGTTTGGGTGTTGCATGTGGCATCTTGAGTAAGGGCATGGCAAGAAATGGGAGGTGAAACAGTGAGAGAAAAAGGGAGGAAATAAGAAGATCGGGAGGTTGAAAGGAAAAAAGGGAAGGGGGCACGGTAAAGAGAAATAGGAGGAAATGCGGATGGAGAGGGGGATGTGGAGCGTGTTGCCTACAAGAAACTACAGAAAAAAGATGAAAGAGCAGATCAGAATACAAACAGTGATAGCTACAGGGAGAATGAAAGATAGATAGGAACAGAAAAAGGGAAAATGTGAGGGAGAAAAAATGGAAAGTGAGAATATGACAAAGTGAAAAATGAGGAGGAAAAGAGGCAGAAAGCAAAAGACGGGGTGGGATAAAAAGACAGACATAAAGAGGGAAAATGGAAAGAGGGGGAACAGCTTTGTAGAAGCAAATGGTTGGGGCTGATAAGACATGAAACACTTCACACTGGAGCCAAAAAGGCATACAGGACTTGCTATGTAAGCCAGTTAGCCAGCCAGCCATCCGACTGGACAGTCACCTAACTGTCCAGTCACTCATCCAGGCTGCCAAACAGACACTCTCCGTATAGCATTTAAAATGCCAGACTGTCACATAACGAGTTAACCAAGCACATTTATTCAGACTGGAGAGGCAAGCCAGGCATTCGGTTAGTCACAGCCTGTTTCAGTCATTCAGTTGGTCAATCAGTTAATTCATTCATTAATTACTGCAATTACACTGCATAATCATCTACCCAGTCACATATTTGGCCAGTGAGTCAGCATGATTATCCCATAGCTATTCTGCCATAAAGGGAGCAAGGCAGTTCAGCCGTCAGTCAGCCAGTACCCAGTTTGCTATAGTCACTATGCCGGTTGGTCAGACAGAGTCAACCTGCCAGGTAAACAGCTGTTCTCTGTAAGTCAGCTGTCTTTGTCAGCCAGCCACAAAGACAGTCACAAGTCAATCAGCTGCTAAGTAAGTCGTTCCACCTGGTAAGCAACCAGCCGGAGACATTGTTGTCAGTCTAGCCAATGATTCAAGTCACCACCCACTCCTTCCAGTCCATCAGCCGGTCAAACAGCATCCACAATACTTTTGTAAGTGACTATTTTGGTGAAACAAGATGTATATTTTTCCAACTCAAACATTTTTTGAAGCCTTGCATATTTTGTCTTCTGTTTATGTTATTTGGCCTACTTTATACGATCACATAAATAATGTAGCTCCTTAATATCAACTTCCCATCTTCAGCTCTATGTATCAAAGTCGTGTATCCCGATGAAGAGTCTTGTGGGAACATTGATCTTTCATTTATAAGCACACTGTGGGAGAATGTTTTGTGGACTGGACAGTTTTTTTTTAGTGCTCTGTGTGCTGCACCTGTGCCTGCTATGCTTTTGAAAATCCATCCATCATAAAGAAATACATTTACAGGTGAATTGAATTGATTTTAAATCATAAAATGTTTTATAATGTAATATTACATTACAGTTAAACACACAAATGGCTAAAGGAGCATTTTGTATGCTGCTGTTAACTTAGGCCAACGCAAAAGCATAAATAAGAGATTGTCATGTCCTCACGTGGTACGTAAACAAGTACAGCAAGTGCACATTACTAAACGCAAATTCCAACAGGTTTAACAATCAATCCCCATCAATGCACTTTGCTCGAACAGGTTGTGTTTGTGTAAATGTGTGTGTGTATTTTTTATAGTATGAGAGCTAACATGCTGCAATTGTGCATGACTTTCAGGGTGGTTGTTAGGTTAGGTTCGTATGTGTATAAGCTGCATAAATCTCTTCTCAGTCAGTGGATGGTGATGGTGAACACCAATTTCATTGTCATGTTAGAGTATAGTGACTTAAAGCTGTATTATCAGAGTCGTGCTATTGGACATTTAACTTGTCTACATTATAGACAAGTTAAAACATTTATAATGGCGCAGTGTAATATGTGGGGATCTTTTGTGCTTTGGACAAGCTCCACTAGTGTTGAATACCTTTCAGGTGTTGAGCTCTCAGAGGAGCTGACATAAAGAAGAGGAAAGTTGACCAAGTAAGCATGACTGAGTAGATTTACAGAGTGACGGAGCAGAAAGCTGAAGATGGGGGAAGAGGGGTATCAAAAAGGTGAGGGCTGCAAAATGCAGGGCATGAAGACCTGTCCATGTATCACTCTCCTCCCACACTTTCTCTTAAAATAAAATAAAACACAGAAATAATGTGGAAACAGTAAAAAATTATGTATTTTGTTGAGGTAATTGCTCCTGCAGGTGCTCTGCAGTATAACAGAGAAGGTGGTGGTGACTGTGGTGTCCTCAAAAAGAGTGAAAAGAATCTGAATTAACAGAGCTGTCTGATGGTCCGGTGATTTTGCGCAGCCAAATGTCAGATCTTGACAGCGTCCACAAAAACCCTTGCAGAGCTCTCGTCCAACTGTGGCTTTTGTCATGAGACGGAGAAAGGAGCACATTGAGCAAGGCGTCCCAGTGCTATACAGGGTCAAAACATGGAGGCCCTTAATCTCCTTTTCATCTGTTTGGTCCCTCTTTGTCATTGCTGTTTTGTTAATGCGGGACAAACCACTTATAAACAAAGAAATAATTTCAATAACAACAACAAAAAATCACCTTTTCAAACAAATATAAATAAAAAAAGCAGTCACAACAAAACAAAAACAGAGCACAGTGAGTCTTTGTACAGAGCTATAGACAAACTCAGTCTGTCTGTCCTCTGTCTTTCCCAAGGGTTTGGGTCTGTGTTTCAGTCTGTTGCTCTGTCTGCAGACCCGGGATCAGTGTCGCAGCAGAGGCTTCCTCATCATCAGAGGCTGCAAAGAGGAGGAGGTGGCTGAGCTAACGTTAGCCAAGGCCTGCTGAGGTCACCATCCACAGAGAAATATACAGGTGAGGGAGGCATGGAGGTAAAAACGAGGGGTGAAGGGGGTTGAAGAGGTGAGTGGAGTTAAAGAAAGACAGCAAGACACCATAACAGAGAGAGAAGATTGTGGCGTAAAGTCAGATGACAGAAAGACACGGGTGGGAAGAAATAGGGAAGAAACAATAATCGAAAAGATATATGCAGTAATGCCAAACTTTTCCACATTCATCTCTTTTACAATCACACAAAATGAATGTAATTAGAAACAACACAAGCAAAACAGCCATACAAACAGCAACAGAGTGTGATGTATTCAAACAGAATTAACATAATATACACATATTCAAAATAGTATTTTGTCATAGAAAAACAACTTGCCCTTTAATTTATAAGATTGTGTTGATGTGTTTGTATTTTCTTACATGGGCCTGGCTGAAGGCACCACACCACACACTGTGTTGAGGTTTAATACATTGCCAGCATGTCTGGAGGCAGGGCCGTCACTGGGGACCTTTAGTCCAACTGAATTCATTTTTCTGAACTCTTTCCTGCAGCATGTTTGGTCATTTTCCTTTCTGCAGACCTGACTGGTAACTACCACGTCCGGCCACTGGAGGCACTGTAGACCTTTATTATCAAATCAACATCTTGAACACTAGTCCACTTCTAGGTATGAGAACTAAATTACTATATGTATACTGCAGATATTTTGGTCATACTTAGGAGTTTGCTGGATGAAGCAATGTGGTTTGAAAAAAATGCTGAATAGCCAAAGCTCAAGCATCTGTGGCTTGTTTTATCTCTGGGCTGAAATTAGTCTTCTGACTTGCTTTCACTTGCATCATTTTGCATGCTCAATTGAATTAGACTGATTGCATTTACAGGAAGGGGATGGCCACCATAAAAAAGGCTGCAGATGGGTGAAGTGAAATCAAATGTAAGCAGAGGATGTGCACAAATACACCGATTAGCCCTCCTTTATCCGTGTTTGTAGAAGAAAGTGGAGTAATTATACTGGGCTGCAGACCTGTGTCTATGTGAAAGCCATTAGAAGAGACTGGACTGAGGTCACTTCCAAATGGGGATCTGAGGTCAGTTTTAGATTTGCCTACTAATGAGACATTAGTGTAATCTTCCAGCTGGACAAGTGCCACTGCCTTTTGGCTGTGCTCGGAGTGCTCACTACAGCTCATCCAGAACCTGATTTTGCTTTGATATTAACACAACTCTGCCACACAGCACCCCTGTTGCACTTCCTCCCCTGGCTTTCTGACACTGTGTGCATCCAATAAGAAAGTAAACTCCTGCCTCTTGTCCATGGTTCAACCCTAAACTCTGTCTATGACCTGTACAGTGCTGCTAATAATCACCTGATGTGTCGTTTTCACCAATTCGCACCTCACTAAACTTCAAGTCTCTACATGAGGCAGATGTGAGCCTGAAAATCAGGTGAGAGCAAGGTTTGCTGAAATTAGATTTTGGAATTGGAAAGACTGCTTGTCAGTGTCGAAGAACAGCGTCACTCAAATCTCAGCGTCCAAACTATGCAGAAATGAAAGAAGTCTAAGGGTACATTACCATGATGGTTGTCACAACAACTGTCCGGTTCTCCATCGCTGAGCTGTCATTGGACAGAGCATTTTCATTCTGGACCAACACAAGTTTGTCTATGTCGTTCCAGTAGCCAATCTGAGAGAGTCATAAAAAAAAAACAAAAAACACATTTTAGCAATAAGACTTTTTATTTGCAATTCATGCAAAAATAAAAATTTTATGGCTTACACTAAAATCAAGCTAGACAAAAACACACATGAATAGATGAAAGAACGATATATAACCTATGTGAGATGAAGAGAAAGGAATGGAAAGTTAGCTTCAACAGAATGAGCTGACTCCAGCAGATTTCCCATTGGAACTGTAGATAGATATTGAGAGATATTGAGTGTGAGCCAAGAACTTTCAATAAACACGCATTGCTGTCGAAGGAACACTTGAAAAGCTGGAACATGGTGCTATTTCTTTATAATTGGTGCTACATGTATGCTTTATTTTCCAGTAAAGAGAAATTATGAGCACTTTCAGCCTTATCCCACAACGTTTTGCTATCATGAAGAGGGATTATGCTCAAACTTTTCTTATTTATGTCACAACAGAGTTTTATGTAGCCCTAGGTAGTCTGGGCGCTGCTCTCAAACTCACACTCCAAAAAGCTATTAAAACATACGCTGCGGTTGTTCAATTGCAGTTATCCAAAGATATTTATAACTGCAATGATAATAATAATTGATTAAAGGTAACTTTCCTGCTGAAGAGTCACACTTTTACTAAATTATGAAAAACTTTTGTTTTTTTACATGCAAGGATTTTTCTGTCTTGGCTTTTCAGCACCACAGTCTAAAAAATGCATCACAAAAACTGAATTGAACTAGTTGACTATCCTACATTTTTGATGGGGCTCAACTCACACATTCAAAGTGTTGTTTCTGAGCCATGAGGACAGCCTACCTTGCGTGGTCCGTTGCTCTTTAGTTCAAACACGTCCATGGTGTAGTTGACCCTTCGACCGTAGTGATCAAACTGAATGTTCCCAGTCAGGCCCTGAATGCGCACCTGGATTTATGGCAACAGTAGTAGTAAGGACTGGAATCTGTTATTTACATTTACTCATTTGGCAGATGCTTTTATCCAAAGCGACTTACATTTGATGAAAAACATACAAGCATCAACAGAGCATCGAATACAGATCTATAACTGACAATACATACTAATAAGAGCAGCAATAAATACTAGTAAGAGCTCATAGTTCATATCACATCAATGGGGTGAATACCTAGGGAAGGAAGTAAGAGTTAACAAAAAAAGTGCAATCAATACAAGATAATTGTAAGGGGATAGAAGAAGAAGAGCACAGGAAGTGCATGTTAGAGGTTAAGAGTTAGAGGTGTTATAAGAGGAAGTGTTCTCGGAAGCGATGAGTTTTCAAGAGCTTCTTGAAGTTAGAGAGGGACGCCCCTGCTCTGATGACGTGTGGTAGCTCGTTCCACCATCATGGTGTCACAGATGAGAACAGCCGGGACTAGGATTTGCTTTGAAGGGATGGCAGAGCCAGTTTGTATTATTGAGTTTAGGTAGATGGGTGCAGACCCAGTAGTCACTCTGTATGCAAGCATTAGTGACTTGAATCTGATTCTGGAGGCCACGGGGAGCCAGTGGAGGTCACTGAGTAATGGAGTGACATGAGACCTTTTGGCCTGATCAACAACCAGACGTGCTGCTGCGTTCTGAACCATTTGTAAGGGTTTCACCGCACAAGCTGGAAGACCTGCTAGGAGGGCATTGCAATAGTCGAGGCGAGAGATAATCATGGCCTGTACCAGAAGCTGGGTGGCGTACTGAGTGAGGTAGAGCCTGATTTTTCTGATGTTGTATAGAGCAAAGCGGCATGACCGAGAGACAGCAGCAACATGGTCTGAAAAGGACAGCTGGTCATCAAAGTTTCTCACCACCCTGGTTGGAGTGATGGTACAGGAGTCAGTTTGTAGCTTGATGTTATGGTGGATAGATTGCTTGGCTCTCTAAGTGTTCAGTCTTAGAGAGGTTTAGTTAAAGGTGGTAAGCCTTCATCCATGCAGATATGTCCGAGAGACAGTCCGTGATCCGCGCCGAGACGGTGGGGTCATCTGGAGGGAATTATAGGTAGAGTTGCGTATTGTCTGCATAGCAGTGGTAAGAGAAGCCGTGAGAGAGAATGATCGACCCCAGTGAGGTGGTGTAAATTGAGAAGAGAAGGGGCCCAAGCACTGAGCCTTGGGGCACCCCTGTGGAGAGGCAGTGGGAGGAGGATAATTGTCCTTGCCACAAAACATTGTAGGAACGCCCCAAGAGGTAGGATTCGAACCACAGGAGTGCTTTACTTGAGATGCCCATTGCTGAGATAGCGGCTAGCAGGATCCTGTGGTTGACTGTGTCAAAGGCAGCTGATAGGTCAAGCAGGATAAGACCCTAGGATTGAGCCGCAGCTTTAACTGACCTTAGGGCTTCTGTTACAGACAAAAGAGCCGTTTCAGTAGAGTGGGCACACTTAAAACCAGACTGATATGGATCTAGGACGTCATTCCGTGAGGGGAATTCTGAGACCTGAATACTGCCCGTTCGATAGTTTTGGATAAAAATGGTAGAAATAAAACTGGGCAATAGTTCTCAATTTGAGTTGGGTCAAGTGAGGGCCAAGTGAGGGTGTGATCGAGCCCTTTTGAAAGTGGTTGGGAAGTTTGCCGTTTTACATGAGTGATTGCGGGGGCCACGGTAGGAGATATGGCTTGGAGTATATTCGTAGGAATCGGGTCCAGTGGGCATGTAGTGGGACGGCTATGGGTCAGGAGTTCTGATCGTTCTCCGTGAGAGGAGTAAACGAGTCGAGTGAAGAACCATTGACCTGGGAGGGCAGAGAAAAAGATGTAGTAGGACTGCTACAATGGTTGAGTTTGAGTGTTTTAGAGAATTGGCTAGTTTGCCTGTGAAGAAGGCAGCAAAGGTATCAGCAGACAAGTTTGTGGGTGGTGGAGGTGGAGGAGGATTTAGTAGCGCTTTGAAAGTGGAAAATAATTTCCTTGAGTCAGTGGCACTGCTAATTCTGTTATTATAGAACGCTGTTTTGGCCACACTGATGCTTGTTGAGAAGGAGGATAGGAGCAATTGGTAGCCCTTAAGGTCGGCAGGGTCTTTGGTTTTTCGCATTTTCTTTCAGCGGCTCTGAGATCAATACGGAGCCCACGGATGGTATCAGTTAGCTACGGGTGGGACTGGTTCGGGCGAGCAGGCTTGGTGGATAGAGTACACAAGGCATGAGCTTAGTGTAGAGCACAGAGATTGTGCGGCATCATTGACCTCAAGTGAGGAAAATGTGTTGAGGGAAGGAAGAGCGGAAGCTACCACTGAGGCAAAGTGAGTGGGAGACAGGTTGCGGAGATTGCGGCAGTGTGAGACAAACGGTGCTGGAACAATGGGCTGTTCCTGTAGGCATACCGTGAACTTAATGAAATAGTGGTCTGACATGTGTAGAGGTTTGACTGTTAGGCACTCAGTGGCACAGTTTCAAGATTTATAATATAAATAAACATATATAAATAAATAGCATCAAAAAACAAACAAAAAAAATTATTATAGGTTTAATTAAGTGTTGTATCACAGCCATTTTCAGAACTGAATATGATAGTTTATATAATAGGGCTGTGCCATATGGCAAAAAATTCATATCCCAATATAGGTAATACCATGGGACATCCCAATAACGATACATATCCTGATATAGAACATTTATTGTAATTTCTAACTGTAACTCGGGATATTTCTCTGCATAAAGGTAACGTTAGGGTAACTTAAGCGATTCTGGATAAATCCAATACCATGACAAATACCATGACAGAGTGAACAACGACACAGCAAGTAATGTAACTAATGTTAGGTAGCTTGTGGATTAGCAAACTGACGCTACTTGCTGCTAAATCTAACATGAGAGAAGGAGACTGTCCCAGAGCAATACACCAGCTTCAGACAGCGACACTCACATCGCCTGCAGCCTAACATCACAACAACAAATGCCTTGGCAAACTGTAAAGTAAGCTGTATGTCCGTGGGCAAGTCATTTAACGTTACCTGACTGACACACACGATGGCTGGCACTTCTGGATAGTGTTGTGTGGGCTCGTCCATTATATTTAATGCAATTTCTTCCCCGCAACACCTGCACGCGTGGAAGAACGGATCGCGGTGAAGTTAGTTTCAAGTTGGATAGTAGTTTCACTTTGGACATTGGATAGATGTGGAATACCAACGTAAAGCTAACTTCACTGCAGTGCAAAGCGCCGTTCCCTCAAAATATTACGGTAAAGTGTGGAATTTGCGACATAACCATATAAACGATAGAGCATAATTGTAAATGATAGACGTTTTTCCATCGTCAAACGATAGATATCGTCATATCGCACACAGCCCCATTATAATACAAAATAATTTGTCACATAACAAAAAATCTGTTCCCACACGACTGACAAGTGTTTTAGAGTTCAGACTTGGTTTTAGAGTTAAGGTTAGAATAATGAGAAGTTTAAGATTAGGGTATGGGTTGGAGTGCTTATTGGTAATGTTAGGGTAAGTATCTGAGAAGTGAATGGAAGTCATTACATTGTCTCCCACAACTATAACAGTACAGGTTTGTGTGTTACAGTAAGTGTGTGTGGACTAGTGGGTACTTCATCAAAGTCTCAACAACATTGAAAAATACATAAATGTCAGCATGGATTTCTGAGACATTTACTTCTTTCTCATGCCAGCTGATTTACTGACTGCTGTGTTGTGTGTACATCTTGTGAACATCTGTCAAAGCGTTTGCCAATCTGTACTATACCACATGAAACTTGTGCCAACCTGTTTGAGTGCCCGCTCCATATCTATTCCTTGGTTCCAGGGAGCAGCCGGATTGGCCAGGCAGTCACCAGCGTTACCACGGCGACTAATGTCAATTTTCTGACGGCGAAGGGTGCGGAAGGCCTCGGCCATCACAAGGACGCCATCATACGTTAGAGATGAGGTATACTAAAGAATGGAGGAAAAACATAGAGAAACAAAAGAAACGTTATTATTTTGACAATATTTTAAACTTTTTCGATGGCCAAATAAATACTTCTTCTTCATCAGTCCAAGTACTCAGGATTAAATAAACCCTCAAGTAATGCAAACATTTGAAATGAGAGACAGGCATTAAATAGTTTCCTTTAAAAATGTAATAAGACCCTGTTTTGAAACGGATACTGACTTTACTCAGGCTAAATCACTCTGTTATTTTTTGACCAAGTAAAGCTGAGGTGTATCTACAATAAAACTTTAAATTATACACTGAAAGTCACAATTAGTTTCTAGAATATTGAACTCATTTCTAAAACATAATTGAAAATGTTGGTCTGTTTTTACACATTTTACTGATCTGTAATATCAGAAAATATTAGCTGATATTGAGTTTTTAGCCTGTGAGAGACATAGCTTTTTCCATTCCTGTGATATGAATTTTTTTTGTAGGTGATAAATCCGTGCCTTTAAAAGCACTATTTCTGACTTTCTGTTTGGTGTTCATTTAAAAAAAACATATCCTCATTGTCTTTTCAGTGATGGTAGCTTACTCTGTAGGACTACATGAGTTTAGATCCACAACAAACAGTGTTTGAATGGATGCTTTCTATGATTTACAAAGCCAAAGCAGAATTTGCTAATAGTGCAGTGCTATACCGTAGCATCTGTGTTACTGCATGCATCAGACCTCAGACCATCTTAACTCTATGAGCTAACTCATCAGTATAGCAAACATGCTGACCTGTGCCTCAGTCTATCTCACCGCTCTGACTTTTATTTGACTTCCACAGTTAACACTGGTGAACATCTATCAACACCACTGTAAACATAACATCACTGTAAATGTGCCAGTTTTAGACAGGCTTATAGTTTTCAAATAGTCAGTGGGCCATTAAAATTACATTCAAATGTGTTTAAAACATGCTTTAAATTTGTTAAATAAATCCACTTTGTTAGGGAATTCCCCTTCATGGTGAAATTTTCTAAATATGGTTTATTTTGATTATATTCTAAAATAGGATGTAGCTCTTCATAAATGAGTTGCCATAAATGATAAAACATTCAATGCTTTAAGGGACCTTAGCAAGAAAAAGAGAAAGGGTGAGAGATTATCAGTATCTGTTCTCTAATAATACTCTTAAAAGTGGTGGTGATTTTGACAGATTGTTTGACAAATTCATTATAGGTAAGACACAGCACAGCGGGGAACCGCACCACACACTCTGCAGCAACAAACCCACCCAGCCCACACACAGCGCCGCACAGACAGAGGCAGTCAAACACACAGTGGGCTACCTTCACATCACAACGGAGACAAGTGGAGAGATGAAACTGGGAGGAAAGAGAGAAGTCAGCGGAGAGACTCTGCCGCTGCTCTCCACGTCTCTGCAGGTAGTTTTCTATCTTACTGACATTCCTTCATTTGTATCCCAAAAGGTGTGTTTTGGAAGGCTGCACAACCATGTCATCCTCCTTTCATCTCTCCCCTTTGAAACTAAAGAAGCTGCTAGCCGTGCTACTGACAGATGATGACTATAGAATCCAAATCAAGGAGAAAACAACAACAAAACGGAGCCAGCTTGCATACTGTTTATGTCAGAGGGAGGACAGAAACTCTTCGAGATACATAGAAAACAGTATTGGCTTTTAGAAACACCAAATTCTAGATAATATTTATAGGATCAGTTCAAATCTCCAAGTTCAGCTAAAATCCTCCAAGTCAAAATAGATTTTCCCTGTAAATGTGGATTCTCAAATTGGATAAAACAAATAGTCACACTCTACTGTTCCATATCAGCCCAAGAACCAGATTTATAAATGATGTATGAAATAAAAGAAGCATGTGCAACTTTTCACACAGAAACTAATGTTTAAAAAAAATATATGCAGTGCATTTAGATTGTACAATCTTCATTCATGCTTTACACCAGAGACTTCTATTAGTTAACTGACCTGAGTGAGATAAAGCCATGTTGCAAGCATAAGAAGTCGTGGTCAAAATCTTTTCTTTCATTCATTTATTCATGTATTTTTAGCCACTTGTTGTTTGGTTGGTCGGTGAGTCCACCACTCATGATGAATTGTAACAACTTAACATTACTCACCTAACATTTCATCGAGCGCCATTATCAGGTGAACATTTGACTTTGTCCAGTACCATTATATTTATGCTATTGTCATCCACATCATAAAGTAATATTGGAAAATGGATCATGAAGATCAGATAATAGATTTGGAATTAATCATCAGGCCATTATGACTCACAACATCAGCACAAGGAAACAAAACTTAATGTGGCACCATTAGAGGACGATGCCAGTGTCAAGCTGTGGACAGCATACGTCAGTTTTTTTAATTTGCACCCTGCATGTGTGCAGCTAAACAGTCATTTCTAAATCCAGAGCAAAGACTGTGTACATGTTTCTGCTTTTTAATGATATTAAATAATTTCGCTATCGACTGTACCACAGGGAACATAACATAGCAGTGGCAAGGTTAATGACACACTGAAAAACACAAATGTCACTATTTTTTCTTGTCATATGAAAAAAATTAAAATGAGCTTTTTGCCGGTGTCTGGCAAGCATTACATGCGTTACACATGGACAAATATTGGTAAAGGCGGCCCCATTATATGTTAAATAAGCTTACACAGATGTTGCAAGCCTATTCATATTCTGATCATGCAATCAGGGGAAATGTGTGAAAAATATTAGACTGATCATAAGCTTTGTGACTGAATTTTAAAGTTAATATATTACTTTTCCAGGTCATTTTCATAATATTTTAAAAAATCTTCAGGCACACTGAATCACTGGGTTAAGAAATTTTGATTGATGGCCAAAAGCAGCTAGCTCAAAACGGGTCTCCAGTGCAAAGAGGACAAATCCCTTTGCTTTTCACACTGCACATTATTACACCAGAGTTCTACTTGGCCTGAGGCTATGAGTTGGCCCAAGGCTAGCTGAGCTCAGTTTTTACACAGCATCAATTAGCCTAGAGCAATTTGGAGGCATCTGTTGTCACTAGAGATATCTGGTGTTGTGTTATTGTGTTGAATCATTAAAATCATGTTTCCTTGTTTGCAAAAGGCATAAAACATCACCTTTTGTGGTTGCAATGGGAAGAAAACCTTTGAATACACTTCATCAAAGATGTTTATAAAGTTCTGAAAATTGAGAACACCTGCAGTTTTATTTTTACTTTATTTTTATATCTAAGCATGCCCACTATGTCTGTTAGTCACAAACATACACAACTGTTGTCTAAACGGTATGGATCAATTGATGCAGTCGACATCCCTAATGGGAATTCATCAGGTCAATCTGAAAATGATTAGCCAATTAAAATGGTCCCTGGGTTAATATTGAAATTCCAATAATGAAGAATATGACCGTCCACATAATGTTGCAGCCTTGAAAGACTCATACACAGCATCGTCTTTTTATTGTTACTACATTGTGTGTGGGTGTGTCCTCTGAGAGACACTGCATGCATGTGAGTTTTAGCTGAAGGACAAGGGACAGAGATCTACAGTGTGATGTATTTTTAATAGGTAGGTGGACATTTTTCCAGTTAATGTATGCACAAATCAAATGCAATTGGCTGCAGGGGACTACCCGGTCCATGGGGTTGTGCTGAAGGAGGACAGAGGGACAAAGAAAGAGACAGAAAAGAAATAGGGGGTGGGAGAGACTAAATAGAAGCACACTAGTATGACAGAGAAAGGGACATCAGCAGTGAGAGAAAAGAGACACTGAGGATGGTGAATGGAGAGAGGCGAAAGGATATACAGTAAGAGAGACAATGAAACACATACACTGAGGGATGTAATTGTGCATTTGGATACAGAACTGGGAACAAGTTGAGAGAAAGCTACGGGAGATAGAGAGGAAAAAAGTGAGATATTGTGGAGACAGACAGACATGACAAGGAATCTGCATGCACCATGTTAACCTTGACACTGTATCACAGAGTCATAGAGGAATTTATGTATTCAACCGTAGTAGGATCAGCCAATTCACTTCTCTGAAATCCTGAGGTCACACTCTTTACGGCAAAGGTGCTGCACAAAACGCACCATATCACACTATGAATGGTTCAAATGAAGCACATCAACCTGTGACTGGTTACCTGTTTGAAGAAGCTGTATATTTGGCATCTGTGGTGAATTTCAGGTTCAAAGCACACTTTACACACCAATGCCACCGTCCCTACAATTTTTCAATTCAATTCAAGTTAGCTTTATTGGCATGAATGTGTAACAACAATATTGCCAAAGCATCATACAAACTACATATAAATAAATACATGTGTATTTGTGTGTGTGCACTGCAAATATTTGGGCACAATTTTCTCGTGTATATGTGGATGTAGTGACAATGTGTCATAATGGACAAGAGCCTAAACTAAAGTTCTGCATTTTTGTTTCCTGAATAAGGGCTGCTGAAGAGAACACCATGTTGAAAATTACTGCAACTATTACAAATGACATTTGTAGTAGTGGGAGATTTATTTAGACATGATTTTCCAATCTGTATATTTAAGGATGGGACAGCATATTTTTTCACCTTAGGTGGGCTTTCAGATCCCGGGTACTCTCTCTGATCAAGTTTGTTCCAGCGCTGCATCAGTTTGATAACGATAGGCCTGCTGAAGTCCACCAGCTGGAAACCTGTCACATTAGCCCCGCCGTGCATGAACCTCTCCAGAGATATGTCCTTAAAACCCTGAAAGAAAGAAAGATGGAAAGAATATGTGAAAGGGCTGATGATGCAAGCACAGACAAAACAGAGCGGACTACAAAACCACCAAGGCATGTGCGCACCTTTGCTGATCGTATCATACTCCAACAGTTTATCTGATTATTTATAGCCCTACTTAATATGGAATGGCTTCCACAGCTGCGAGCATGTCTTGATGCAGAGTGACACTTGGTTGTGAAGTGGTCGTAAAGAGGGATCCATTTGGGAATGGGCCAGAGACAGAGGTAGAGAGTAAAGACATGTGAAGGTTATGCTGTGTTGATGGATGCTAATTGCTAAAAGCTCTGAGAGTCTATCTAGCTTGACCTGAGCGCCCGTTTTTTTACTGTCCTGCAGTGGAACAGATTTCAGGGATTAAGGTTGAACTAATACTTCATTTACTGACGTGAGTTCCGACAGCTACCTGCAGCTCTGACTTTGTTGAGGAGAGACAAATATTAATATACTAATTAACCATCCTTGGTGGAAATATTAACTGATCAATATGGAACTGACAAACGTGGCCTGTTTATTGTAATAACTGCTGAAAAGACAACCTTGGGGGAAGCTGAACGTCAAAGTAGGGGTTAAAAAAACACGCCTTATAATCTTGGCTTAAAAGACGGAGACATTGATTGTGTGTCAAGACCTCATCTTGATCATTTTTGTGTATTCTCATGTAGGCAATGAAAACAAGACATTACACCAACACTCTACTTAACATGCTCAAAATAACAGCCAACAGCAAAGCAATAAAGAGTTCTTACCAGGTTTGCTATGATGTAATGGTAACCTTTGACATGCTTCCCCACACTGACAGCCTGGAAAGAAAAACAGGGACAAATAAAAAATAGTTTCTTTGGCATCTACTGACAATGAATTTATTGTGCTGCACAGAAGGAAACATGTAGGATTCACCATTAACAAATTGACACGAGTTGCCAGAGTTATTTTAATTAAGTGAAACTACAAATGAAGAAGACACTGACAGTTTCTTATGCTGATTAAAAGAAGAGGATAAGCCTGTGAGGACTTCGCTTGTCCTTGGTACCATGCTGGCTCTGGCTCTGCAGCCTCTTTTACATTTAAAGAGCTTCAGCAATGTGTTGTCTGGGTTAGAGCTCTATTAACCTGTCTGGTCCAACTCGATATAAAAAACCCTGCATCCTGTAAAAAGGATGATTTATCTTTAAAAAGGATGATTTATCTTTATTTGGTAATAAGCTTAATCAAGCCAATAGTGACTGGTTGCTGGCATGGGAGGCAACCTTTTCTTACAAGAATAACATTCACATTTTGTATTAGCAAAATACAGGTACAAAAACTTTGGCTTTCCCTAAAACAGCAACTTATTGCGACTAAAGTCTGATTAAGATATGGTTAAAGTCAGACAACTAAAACCATGAAACCTAGTCTATGAGGTCAAAGCCAAAGGCACTTTACACCACCTTGACCTCAACACCTTATCTTTTCTGCTTTCTGCTCTGTCAATACATGTTGCCACCAGTGAAAAAAAATTACTACTGATTTTCTGTCTGGTGCTTTTGTGTCAAAACTGTAATTCTACTCAAAAGTGAAATCTGTAATCACATTGGGATGGAAGAAATGTGGCACAGTGTGAGATTTTTGACAAAGGAGAAATAAGCATCTTCATATAGACAAAGCCTAATTAATTGTTTAATTAATCAAACAGTTTTTCTTTATGTCTCTCTCTCACCCACACATATCAACAGCTATGTACTGACACAGACAGATGAACACACACACACACGCACACACACGCACACACAGACTGCAGCTGGCAGAGGTAGACAAACAGAGCAGTCTCTGTCCCTGAGCACGGATGCTAGCCAATGCCAGCACTGCAGAGCCCACTGAGACAGGAGTGTGTACGGGTGTGTGTCTGTATGTCTGTTTTAGCATACTCTTGTGTGTGTGTGTGTGTGTGTGTGTGTGCGCGTCCGTCACACCACCGAAGCCAATTAAGAAACTGTCTGTCTGTCTGTCTGGGATGCTGTTACTGGTGTGTGTTAGTGCGTGTGTAGCTGTGCGTGCATTTAAAAGCTGGTGTGTGTGTTTGTTTGCCTGTTAATATGACCTGATAAGTGTGCGTGTGTGTGTGTGTGTTGGGGGTTGTTTAGCTGTGTGTGCCATTGAGTTTGTCGTTTGTCAGATGTGCACACAGAGGATCAGATGTGATGACAGGTGGCAGAACCAATGGGATGTAACACTGAAACCTAAGTCAAAGGGCACACACACACACACACACACACACACACACACAGACGTTTGTGCCACCTGTCAGAGCTCAACCGTCAAGCAAGACAGATAATCTAATGAATTTAGACAAGCGTAAGGTGTCAGATTGTGTGGCTTCATATACTGTATAAGTGTCTGTATGCGTGTGTGTGTGTCTGTGTGTCTGTGTGCTAGAAATCTGCATCTGAGTGGACAGTATGGTGTGTTTACTGCAATTATATACTGATGTAGCTGTTGGGGAAGTCGCATTTTTCACTCCACATTATGAACTCTGGGGGAAAACTCAAATCTTGTTTTCTTCACAGATGTCAGAAAGCATAAGGAGTGCTGTTGCAACTAGCTGAGTGAAGCAGACAGCAGGCAGACAAACACCAGTAACTAAATAGGATACTATAATTGGTAATGTAATACTTGTTGAGTTGTTGTAATGGTTCTGGATTTAATTACTTTACAACAAGCTTGTAGCATGTACTCTGTTAATTGTGGTTTAAGGTGATAATAATGTCTCATTGCAGTGTGGCTGTACTACACTATTAAGCGTTAAATGCTGTTAAGTCCAGGTCAGTGAAGAAATCTCTGCCCTGTCTGCAGTAATCTCATTGATAGTAACAGTGCCACATTAAACTATAGCGTGGCATCCATTAAAGCAGTATCTCATGATCTAAATGCGGCAGGGTCCTTCAGGTTCCAGATCAGTGTCAAATAATATCCTGTGCCTGCAGTAAACTAATAGTGATTTATTTATTTGGTAATCTTGTGATGTACTGTCACATGGGACTACAGTGTTGATGCAACCTGTGATGTAGTGGTAAATAACCACCAATTAAAACTCATGATAATATATAGTCAACTAGTTAGTTAATTATCAGTTAATTAAAATGGACATTTCTCTATATTATTAATCATATAAGTTTACAATACATTTTGTACATGAATATTATTTTGGATTAGAAATGGTAGCATATTGAGGTTAGGTGGGTTTACATGCCTGATAACTTTACTGACTACAGCACAACAATGCTTTTGTAATACTGTGTATTGCAGTGTTATGGTTACATTTGTGTGCTCAAAAACTTTAGTGAGCAGTATAATATTACCTGTTCTAAGATGCTCTGTAGTCTCTCAGGCTCTAGGTCAATGACATATTTCCTCTCCTGACGTCGGTCCAGGTCCTCCAGGAGTCGTCGGTATGCTGCCTCATTGAAACTCTCCACACAGATAGCACTCACCTGGGTTAACACACATGAATGTATTCAATGGAAATCAGAATGGCATACACAAACAGTATGTAGGGATTTGGTCCTGCATGCAACCCACAAGCAAGTTAACAATTGTGTTTGAAGACTGAACAATTAAAACATCATTCTGATTATGTGTATGCTCTATGTGTGTGTGTTTTTGGCCTGTTTCCAGGTGGTGTGTGTTTGTGTGTGTCCTAACCTGCCATCCGTTCTGCCCCGCTCTCTCCATAATTGCCTGCAGTATTGCATAACCTAGACAACAGAGAGTAAAGGGAAAAAGAGAGAATTAACGTTGTACTAGGCAGAAGCCGTACATGGGAATTGGAGTCATTATATTGTTAAATGTTTGCAGCTAAAGCCACAAAATCCCACCAGTATTTGCAAAATCCTTGATCTCAATTACCACAATGAGTCTGCATAAGTTGCTGAAATCAGCAAAGCATTTCCAGGTGTGCATTACTTTCCAGCAGATTCATCAGCCCATCTCATTTACCAAAGCAACACCCTAATGTCTTGTCTTCAAGCGTGAGGGTAGAGTGCTTAGCACCTCAAGCAATCCTCTCTTGAATGTCACTTTATCAACCAACACACAGAACTTATCAGTTCAAAGCGTTATGTGCCAAAAATGTTCAGTTTCTGTTGATAGTGACATTTTATTGGAATTAAACTTCTCATTGCATCTTGTTCAGTAGTGAACTTTGACTTAAATGCACCTCATTTGAGAACACACTGCCACTTATCAATTTTATAGCCTGGAACAAAATTCAGAATGTTCTTTTTCCAGAAAATAAGGGAACATTTTTGAATAGGGTGAGTATGCCTCTCAGCGTGCTATTAGATGAGTTTCAAAGTTAATATGATCCTATGAGCAGCAGGTGGCAACATCAGTGAACAGCTGTCTAGTTGGGTCAAAAGAAGTGGAAAAAGAACAGTAATGTGAGAAAACTATAATAAAGTATATACTTTATTATATTGGCATACAGCTGATGATTTTTATCATAATGATATCTGTCAAACATTCAAATATGGTGTCTGCTCTGAGCTATAATGGGAATTAATATCTCATAAGTCACATAATAAAAACACAGAGCATGATTTCACCTTCCCTAAAAGAATGAATTGTGTTTGTAATTAGGCTTGTGAATTGTTTATGTGTATGTGTTTTTTTTTTTGTGTGTCTGTGTGTGTGTGTGTGTGTGTGTGTGTGTTTGTGAGAGTGTGTGTCAGCAGGCTGTCTGTGGAGCAGAGCAGAGCAGGGAGCATAAAACAGATCACAGTGTTACTGCCCATTTTCTAGCACATTACCGGCAGCAGGGCCTGATGGGAGCTTATAATGAAGGGCCCTGCCTTGGCCAAGTCAAGGGTGAGCACAGCCCTAACTTTATGCATCCATCCTCCGCTCCATTTCTTCCTCCTTTCTCTCTTCTGCCTTTCAGAATATGCTACTGTACATGCCCAGAGGCTTGTGATCCTGTGTGTCCTCTTACTCCTCCTGCCTGCCCTTTCTGTAAGCTGCCTCCCTCCACCGCCTCCCATATATCTCCACTTCTGCTCTTTCTGTCTCTTCCTCCGTCACCTAGTTTGTCTTCGCCTCCCTTTTCTCGCACCTGTCTTTCCTACTTTCTCTCTTTTCGGCTGCTCCACCAGCTTGACTCACCTCACCTGTCTCTCCTGCTCCCCCTCTTCCTTCCTTTTTCTCCCTCTGTTCCCCCTGGGTACTAACTCAGACAACCTGGAGTACACACACACACACACATATACACACACTGTGCAGCTCACTGATTCTTTAACACGCCGCTATACCATGGTCTGGGGACTCTGTGTCATGTTTGACCTGTGTTTCTTTCCCTGTGGCAGGGAATTAGTCTGTGTGTGTGTGAGATAGAGAGGGAGAGAGTGAGAGATAACAAGCCAAGCATTCCCATGATAGTGGTTAGGGGCCGAAGGCGTCAGCTGTGCCTGCTCCACTAACTTACGTGCACTGCATGATGGGATGGTTAAATTAAAGGCAGGTGAACGCTCCAAGAGTTGATGCCAGACCCTAGTTTCTGGCTGAAAAGTTCCAAATTGCACCCTTGTTTCTGCAGCTGTATCCTTTCATCAGGAAAGTACAAAACCAGTAGCACAGCCTTTGTGCTTTTTCCACAAGAATACAGGGCTAAATTTGGGAGTTAAATTAAGGCCAAATAATCCCAAGCAAACAGACTTTAAAAAGATCATTATGACTTGATGATATTATAATATTGTTCTCAGTATGCCATGCCAAACTGAACCCAAATTAACAGATAACTTTTCATGCAAAAAAGTGTTTGGAACCAGACTAATTTGGAAATCTATTTCAATCTTATATCACTGATTTTTTAATTTTAGCACTTGTTATCACAACAGGGTTTATGAAGTGCTGGTGGTGCCATAAGGACACAATGCTGCTCCAGTCACAGTCATTTAGACAGTTCACTTGCAAAGACCGCGCTAATTATAAAATGTAGTATAGTCAGATAGCGAGAGGGTTTGGAAAGGACAGGACAGGATGAAGGGGTTGAGAGGAGGGATGAAGAGTTTCGAGACTAAGGGTTGGGCCACATCTTGAAAAGCATCTCTTTTATCGTTCCCCAAAGTTAGTGTTACTGGACTTAGCAGAAGTTAGCTCTTTGGATTTCACTGAGGACGTTGTGGATGTAGCTGTGGTAAGCTTGGGAAGACCTATGGCCAAGGATTTTAATGATGTGGTTGGTTTCTCTTGTCTGGAGGTGGTAGAAGCTGCTCTGATGCAGAAGGAGTGACTGGAGTATAGTTCAGGAAAAATCCCACATTTGAACCGGATGGTGGAATTAGAAGCATGTGGCATCTCTGCCTGATTCGGTGGTGAACAGTGAGTCTTGCGGAGAAGCGTGGTGGTGTAGTCTCTAGTTTATGTAGGTTTGGATTGGCTCAGATAACAATTTAAATGGAAAAAAGTGTTAGAAAGGCTGAGCTGATGCTTCGTTTGAGGTTAAATCAGAGGGTGTCTGGGAAGTCAATAGAAATGTCGGAGAGGCTTGCGTGCTGAGAAGGGTAGTAGGTGGATGAGGTTGTGGCGAATTCTGAGCATCTTTTAAAAAATAAAAGGAGGAACATCGCTTCTAGGGTTGAGTCGATAGATGGGGATAAATATATAGGATATTTGGATGCAATGGGTGAGGAGGTCTGTTGTAAGGAGGTCTGTTGTAAGCATTTTTGTGTGACTTAAGGTTTTGTCTTTTGTAGGTCTTTGATTAAAATGTGGATGTGGGGGTGACAGATGGAAACAGGACTTTTATAAAGAAGTTTATACCGCTAAGGTACACGTGGATGGTAGAACTTCTGGTTTTAAGAACTGAGTGAGTCAAAGTGATGAAGCTGGTTAATGATGTGTCAACGGAAGGAGAAGGCAGGCTGAATGGAGTTCCCCTTCAAGGGAACTCGAACTGCGTCGGTGACGACACTATGGGAACGCCTCTGGGCGTGGCAGGGCAGAATTATGAATGAAACTATTCAATTCTATTGGTGTTGCTAAAACGGTAGCATGTGACGGCGTAACTGGAGGCGTATATAAGCACGCCGGCACACAGGACATATTAGCTTTTTTCTATTCAGCAGGCACTCTGAGTATGTTTGAAAGCTCGACTATTGGAAGATCGTCTTACCTGGAAGTTCCTGACGAAGCAGAAGAGATCATGTCTGGTAAACAGTTCCGACAGTGTGTTTTTTCTTGTCCGCGCTTCATCACGGCTGGGGATACTCACGAGATGTGTGTTTCGTGCCTAGGGATGTCGCACGCCCAGGCAGCTCTCGAGGGGGCTGCCTGCGGCCATTGCGAGGCCCTGTCCCTGAGGGTGCTGAGGTCTCGTGCGGCTCTGATTTCGGTGGATGGTCGGATGCGCTCTCCCTGTGGCTCAGGCCCTGCGGTCGCTGAGGCATCGCAGCGGCTGCGGTCCTGGGGATCACAGCGCTATATCTCCGAGGGCATCAGGATGGCTGAGGCCTTTTCCCGGTCCTCGTCTGCTGACTCCCCCTCCCCACTTCCCCGATCGGGAGCACGTTTTTCGGCTTCTCCCGCCCGAGTTATGAGTCCGGAGAGGCTTGCACAATCTGGCTCCGAGGAGATAGACGTGCTTAGCATCATGTAGGAGGACTTCCGGGAGCCGGGCCGACGTCATCAGTCTTCACCCAGCTACGATGAGTTATTGGAGGTGGTGACGAGGGCTGCGCCCAAGCTAAGCATTGATTGGCCACAGGCGGTGCAGGAGCCACAGGCCGGCAGTAAACTGAATGAGCGTTTTCTGCAGCACTGTGTGCCGCCCCGCGCCGATCTTTGCCATTTTTTCCTGATTTACACAATGAGTTGTGTAAATCTTGGAATAGACCCTTTTCTGCACGACTGACTACTTCCCCTCTGCTGGATTACAGCAACGTGGCAGACATTAAGCAGCACGGCTACGGAGCGATGACTCGGGTTGAGGAGGCATTAGCGAGCTACCTTTCTCCCACCCTCACGTCATCCCTCAAGACGCTGCCCTGGTGGGCAAGGCTCACATGGCGGCGGGTCGAGCCGCTGCAAGCCTGCGCACAATGGCCATCCTGCAGGCGTACCAGGCAGATCTGCTCAAAGACTGTAAGACAAAGGGGGAAGCCCCTCTGAGGAGGACTTAACCGAGCTCCGTAGAGCTACGGATTTAGCGCTTCATGTCACCAAGGAGACGGCCCGTTCCATTGGCCGCTCCATGGCAGCATTGGTGGCTACAGAGCGCCATTTGTGGCTCAACCTCTCGGGCATCCAACAAAAGGAAAAGGCTTTCCTCCTAGATGCGCCCCTCACGACTACTGGCCTGTTTGGTGAGGCAGTAGACACTGTCGTCAGCAGGTTCCAGCACGTCAAAACGCAAGGAGAGGCGTTTGAGCAGTATCTCCCCCGCCGGTCTGGGTCCAGGACAGCAACGGCCGAGGAGAGACGAGCAGCCCTCGTCTAGCTCCTACTGCCAGAGCCAGAAGCGAAGCGTCGCTTCCCGTGGTCCCCCTCAACCAACCTGGGATGCGAGGCGGCGCTCTTGCCCACAGCTCCCCGAGACGACGGATCTGAGGACCTTCATTAAGTCTCGACAGGTTTCAATTAGGGGGGCCCACTACCACCCCCCCGCCTCCCTCCCCTCCGAGTTCCCCTCCCTTGTGGCGGCTCAGGCAACAGGCGCTGTTTTTCCTGCCATCTCGGCGCTCGGGACACGCTAGCCACCAGCGAGCTCTCACCGGTCTGCCCACCTCGAGGGGTTGCAGCATCACTGTGAAACACTTTCAGAGAGTGTTGGGTCTCAGCGTTAAGTATAATACCTTCTGGCCTACTGCACATGAGAGCCCTGCAGTGGTAGCGTCTGTATGCTTTTCCCCCAGTCGCTCTGCTCCCGGAGGTTCTGGAGCGGGTCCGTCAGGATGGTGTCAGCCTACTATTAGTATCCCCGTTTTGGCCAGCCCGAGTGTGGTTCTCGGACATAATATCGCTCCTGGAGCTCCCGCCCTGGCAGGTCCCTCTGAGGAGAGACCTGCTGTCCCAGGCGGGAGGCCGGGTCTTTCACCCACGCCCCGCCCTGTGGCAGCTGTGGGTCTGGCCCCTGAGGGGGCGCAGTTCCTGGAGGCGGGCCTGATGGCAGAAGCGGTCGAGACGCTACTCAGCTCCAGAGCCCCGTCCACGAGAAGGATGTACAGCCTGAAGTGGAAGGTGTTCGCCACCTGGTGTAGAGAACGGGCGGTGGACCCAGTTACCTGCTCTGTGATTATGATACTGGAGTTCCTCCAGCACCGTTTCTCTGCTGGCCTTTCCCCGTCCATGCTCACGGTGTATGTGGCTGCGTTTCATGCCCCTCTGAGGGATGGGCATTTGGGGGAGGCTTCCACTGGTCGTGTGCTTCTCGTATTTACACTCTGAGGTCTTCCCAGTGGAGGAAAGCAGACCAGTTGCTGGTGTGCTTCTAAACACACCATCAGCAACCATAGACGTGGACTTGTTTGTGTCTCAAGAGACTACGCACTGTCCACTGTGGTTCTCCCTCTCGCCCCCAGCCCCGCTAGGGCTGGATGCCATGGTACAGACATGGCCAAGGCTGCGTCTGTATGCTTTTCCCCCATTTCCCCTAGGCGCGGCCTAGTGGGTATCTCGTTCCCATAGTGTCGTCACCGACGCAGTTCGAGTTCCCTCGAAGGGGAACATCTCGGGTTACGTATGTAACCCTTGTTCCCCAAGAAGGGGAGTGCCTTGCTTCATAGTTAAGAGCTAATGTGTCCTTTGTGCCGGCGTGCTTATATACGCCTCCAGTTACGCCATCACATGCTACCGTTTTAGCAACACCAATAGAATTGGAGTAGTTTCATTCATAATTCAGCCCTGCCACGCCCAGAGGCGTTGCCATAGTGTCGTCATCGACACAGTGTCTCGTTCTCCTTCTCGGGGAACAAGGGTTACATACGTAACCCGAGACTTTTGGAAAGTTTTGAAACTGCACTATTAATAATGTTTGTTTATGATGTCAACAGGGACAGTAAGTAAGAGATGAAGGTGCGCCCTTGGGGAATGATGCGGAGGGTGAAATGCAGGTGTCTGAGTAGTGAGTAGGCAAGGAGGTAGCTTGAAATGTACAACAAAATATGGTGGAGTTTCTTTGTTGGGAGGGAGGCTTGAAAGGAAAGTGATCCAGGGTGATGCAGAGGGATTCGAGGGATGTACTGGGTCTTCTGTTTTCTCCGGGGAAATGGCGGACTTGAGGGTGGAGAGATGGAGAGGATGATGGTATTACAGTGAGTAAATCGCCAAGAAGATGAATGACGTGGAAGTTTGAGGTTGTTGATAGATAGATAGAAGGTAGAAAGTAAAATAAGTAGTTCCAACGAACACCAAACACCAAACCTTGAGAAATCTGGGTGTATAGGCAACACCTTGAAAGCGCTGGTAATATCGGCTTTAGCCAACCAGTCATCATGAATAACAAGACGGATGAAGATGGCATTTCAGATTGTTGCATATTACTATGCAGTAGTACTTCCTGGTAGCAATGCCAATAGGGCTGATGCGGTTCAGAGACTTTTTTTAATCGTTGAACAGATCGCAGTCCAAGGGGTTGAGAACGTTTGAAGTCCGTTGTAAGGTATAACTCAAGTGTGTGTCTAAGCCAAAACAAACAGTTTTGAAAACTGAGACAAACATATGATACACATATGCTCAGGGGATTAGATTAGAGAGGCATGGGTGGATGAATTGAGTGGGGCACAGGTGCTTAGATTAGTGTGTGTGTGTGTGTGTGTGTGTGTGTGTGTGTGTGTGTGTGTGAGAGAGAGAGAGAAAGGCGTGATCTTGTTCCTGGACCTTAGTTAAAATATACATGTAGTTAATGGAGACTTTAATACTGAGTAACAGCCCCTTTTGCATACTTACTCAATACTCTATACTCAAATCCCTCTCTGGCCATTCTCTTTAAAACCAAGAAGGAAGGAATATGGAGTAGACAACAAATGATACAGTGTAAGGCGAAGTCTTGGTTACAATAAAACGGGGCTAGTATACTGCAGTGCTTTATTAGTAACTAATGGAAATGAAAAAAATTAACAAATACTTTAACTCACTGCAGTCATGCATTTCCCTCCCTCAGTCCCTGAACCCAGTGACTTAAAATGACTAATGTATTTTATATTTTGTACTCTTATTATTATAAAAGGAATAATCAACCGCGAGGTCCAACAATAATGTGGAGTGAATCATTGATTTCCCTTGATGTGTTGTGACATATTTCTATTTTGAACACCAGCTCTTCGTATACCTTGTTACCATATTTGTCACTGAGAATTTACCTCTGTCTGTATCGTAGAGGAAGACAAATCGACTCCAGTCATAGTGGTCCAACAGTGACAGCAAAGCCCCTCTTATGGACGGCCGCAGCTGAAGGGTGAACTGTCCCTCTCCTTCAGTGGGAAAGCTGGGCGTCACTAGGCTGATGTGCAGGGCACCACAGAACGATGTCAGCGTGTTCACCGAGCGCTTGTCGTAAAGGCCGAAGATGGCGAAGACCCCCCTCGAATACTGAGAACAGACTGATGTAAGGAGGGAAGAGAAGAGGAGGGAGGAGGGTGGAGTGTGTGGGGATAGAGGGATCCAGATGGAAGAAGGGACAAAAGAGGGTTGAGAGAGAATAATTAGGAAACAGAAATACTGAGTATTCTCAGTGTCACACTTTAGGAGAGCTTTGCATTGATTTTACAACTGAACAGAGAAGAAAAAGAGCAAGTAAGAGGATGGAACTTAGGAAAAATACATGGTCCTTAAATTCATGCTGTTCTGAATCTGGTTAAACGTGTCAACCATTTTAATGAGCGACAGACTTTCTCAATCCTAATAAGACCAATAGCACTCAGCATGGAGTGGTTTGTGTGAGCATCCATAAATGTGCCTCATCATACAGTATACATGTAATTATAAAGCACACACATTTGCACATGGGTGGATATCAGACCGCTCTACAAGCCCCTAGAAAGCAATTTTCTTAGTACACTACTACTACTACTACTACTACTGGTACAAAATCATTCCCACTAGCCAAAACTGGCATGGGTTCTTATACAGTTGTTGAGGAAATACCAGTAAAATAATCCCACCTGCTTAGAGAATACTTAAAATCCATCTATGCACATATACAGTATATACATAGAGATATAAAAACTCTTGACCAAGCTGCAAGTTCACTTCAAATGTGAACTCATTTTCCACTACAACACTGCAGCTCAGTCTTCAAACACCCGGAAGCTTTCAACCATAGCAGAGAGGAGAGTGAAAAGCACTGACGTTCTCCACTATCTCGCTTTGAACAAAAATCTCTCCTCTTTGGTTTGTTGTTAAAATCAACTGAAAATGTACACATATACGCGATTCACTTTCTAAGAATTCAGCGGGTGAAGTGACTAAAAGTGTGTGTCATCTCATTTTTCTTTTTACACTTACACTGCAAACACAATGTTTCTCCTCGCCTGCCTGCTTTCTCTTTCATCCTCTTTTTTCATCCCATCTTTAGACCCATTCATCCTTTCAGCTAGATTCTTTCAGGCAGGCATGTTTTGAGCTTGAACTCTCTCCTGCGTCATAATTCACTCTCCACCCTGTAATACGTCACACTGGAGAAAACAGTAAGACAGGGGGGGCTGCAGACTTTGCTTTTGGCAACAACCAGCCATCACTCTGTAACATTTTTTCTCTTTTTCCCTCCTTGGATCTCTTTATGTATCACTTCATACCGTCCTCTGTTTTCAAGGTGGACACTGAATCCATCCTCTCTCTCTTTTGGCTTCCATCATCCACTTTCCTTCATCTCTTCTCCCTCTCTTCGTCTGTGACTGCCAGTGCTTCCTCTTTCTGTTCCTTCCTGTCTCCCTCCTCCTGGGACTCAGAGTAATTCCATTATCAGCTATAAGCCTCCGTGGGGGTAAACACTGAGGGAGATGCAGTTTTGACGGTTCGGCATGTGGCAATTAAACAAAGCCGAGGCCCCTGCACCCAGGAGGCGATAAGGCAGGGATTTAGTCTCAGATTATGACAGGAGCTAAATGTCTTCAATTCAGAGAACTAGCATACTATGTACTAAGCATGCATCATTCAGCAGGAGCTGAGTCATGCCATCCTCAAAGTCAACAGACTTTATGTCTTCCAAGATGATTTTTAATGCATTTCCAGGTTTTTTTTGATACTTCAGAGCACATTACAACATGAAAGATGCTTATAGAGATGAGACTGTGTCTGATAAACTATTAAATGACAGGTACCAGACAAGTCTAGTACTTGGAATGCACAATAATGTTTACACTAAATAACTGAAGTACACTTCATAATGAAGTGCTCAGAAGATAAGAGCAAATGTTAATCTAAAATCAAAATCACAGCTAAATGGCTAGGATTGAAGCAAACAGCAGGGACAGGTTGGTTCGCGTTCATTCCTGATGGGGGCATACTGATGAAAAGTGGCTCTCTACAATTGAATTTCTTTGAAAGCAGTGTCATGTCAAATGTCATTTCCTTGCCGTTTAATGAATTGGGATCCAAAGGGTTTATTTAAAAAGATTTTTGACTAAAGTTGACAAAAACTACTGGCCTAGATGCAGTTTGTGACATCACTGCGTGCAAACCTTTCACCCACCTCCTGAGTCTCCATCAAATATAGTAAGGAAATATTGATAGCCTTAATCCCGTACCACTCTATTTTTGAAAAATACCAAGACATCTGCAACCATAGACACAGACAGACACACACGGGCCCAGAGCACACCACAAAAACCTTTATTTATGTCTCATTCTTCATTTATCCACTCTCCACATTGTCTGTCTTTCTCTCCTAGCTTTCACCTCCTCATTCTCTCATTGCCTTATGTTCTACATATGCCTTCTGATCCTGCCTTTGCCTCTCTGACTCTCTCATCCTTTCTTTCTCCCATGATTCCCTTTCTGGCATGTCTTGATGGGCTTGCCCCCCCCCCCCCCCCCCCACCCCGACACAAGGCAGGAATGTGCCAGACAGTGGCGTCATTGTAATAAAATGTGAGCTAAGCTTGCTTCATAAAGCTTTAATGAGGGGAGGGGATTGGTGCATCATCCTCACAATAAAAGCATCGGACACAATAGGTCTCCTGGGACTTCGTTTACCTCCACCTCTTGTTGTCTCCCCCTTGCTTGTTTTCACAGCATCCCCATGTGTTTGACTTTTCAATGTACAATCTCCTGTCTTTTTCAGGTTCTTAATTGCTCGCTCTGTCTTTCAAACTTCTCTCTTTCTCTGTGCAGACCTCTCTATAAATCTCTTTAAAATGGTCCTCCTTTATCTGCATTACTCCATACAGTATATCAAGCCTCAGCATCCTTGCATCTTCCTCTGCAGCTATCTCTTCCTCTCTGATTTATTTCATTTGTGTCCCTGTGCATTTAGAAAACCCTCTCAGTCATGTGCATACTCTGTGCATCACTTTATTTCTTGTTTTTCAAATGCAAATTTGTTCAATTTGCATAACAGGGAAGAAAATATGTATATAATACCTAGATTTCTGTTTGCTTCTCTAGTATTGCTTTATATGTGTGTGTCTCTCCCATATTTATCTCCTCCTTTCCTTTCTTTACCTCTCTCAGCACAGTGTTTATGTCTGTAGACCGGCCGCTTGTTTGAATTTCACATGACAGCAAGAACAGATGCTCACAGATAAACCTGCTACTTATTTCACTGCCACTGCACTACAGCACAACATTAAAAGTAACACATACAGACACACATAGTCACCTATGCATCTTTTGAATGCACAAAAGCCTATACCACTGTTCACAAACACACACACCTACAACTTTCTGACTTTCAGTCCTGATGCTGCAGTTGCTTCTCATCCATTAGTCTGAATAACAACCCTCTAGCTGCAGAGAGATTCTTCAGATGACCACAGAAATACTGCAAAAATACTGCAAGCTCTTTATCTTGGCCTTTACCTGAAGGTAAAGAAAACACTTGAGTAAGTGAGGAATACAAACTAGTTTAAAAGCCATTCGGTGTATTTTCCCTGGCATTGCCTGGGGTTACCTGCAGTGTAGTGCAGTGATACCTAGAGGGTGAAGGAAGGTAAATGCCATTAATTAGCTATTCTGAGCTATATAATTACAGAGAAATATACCGCCCGATGTCTTACACAGACATTTTAAGCCATTTATAGTAGTATCCTCTAGAGAGGCAAGCTCCTCTTTTTGTTTTGTTTCAGCACTGCACAGGTTAACACTCATGATCAGTCAACATACTGGGTAAGTATGAAGTGCAAAGAATAAGACAAAGCTAAGGAAACTGAAGAAGAGTTGTTTCACAGCTGTAAGAGTGGTTAAGTATAAGAGGAATGAAGTAGCATTGAGGTAACTAGTGTGTGAAATTCAACTTGAAATTCTAATTTCATCCTACACTTGGGTAACTACATTGATAAACCTTTACAAATCATGTTTATCCCTAGCAGAGTAGTTTTATTGAGGCTCCAATAGTTATTCCATTTCCAAAAGAATCTTATTAGTAAACTAATGTTGCCCAACATCAAGAGTTTCACATGCTTAATGAGTACACTTTTCAGGTAATTGTTAAAATGTTTTATCCATGAGGATGGGGTGAAATAGGTTTTAAGTCTCAAGCAATTAAATTTCTGTAGTTCTGTATTGTCTAGCTGAATAACTATGGTGACCATAGGTCCCAGTTGGTCCGGGATTGTCAAGGTTTTAAGCTGGGTGCCCCGACAAATATCTGTAAAATACTGCAATGTCCACGTTCTCAGCATTCACTAACAAATTGTCCTGGTTTTCACCACAATTAAAATAATAATTACAATATTACACTTGTTTTCAGTGCTTTATTTATTTTTCAGACATTTATCATGTTCTGTCCTTCTCATTATTGCCAAACCCAATAAAAAAACTAAAAACATAAACACTGCACCACGTTTCTCAAAAAGGATTTGTATGTATGTGTGTCAATTAATCAAGGTATTGATGGATGAAGGATGTTCCTAGACAAGTCACAGCCAAGCATCATAGTTGTCATCGGCTGACGGTGTAGAAAGTTTTAACTCAACAAGAGTTAAAATGAAAAAAACTTCAATGAATAAAGCGTTAACCTGTAGAGAAAAAAAGGCAGAGGTGCAGCTTCACAAAACCTGTTAACTATACCCGCTTATCCTGTAGAGGGCAGTGTAAAATGCCATAGGATTAGGCTAATAATGGTGACTGGCAACTTATAGCATCCCTGTCATCGACTCCAGCTGAAACATCACAGCCTGGATGAGAGGAAGTTTGGGCTTTTAGGGAAGGGTGGGAGCTACCACGTAAAGGACAGGGGTGCTCTGGATATAGAAAACAAAACTAGTGTCATTGTAAAAAGGCATGTGGCACAATAATTGTTTTATCTTAATTAACTGGTTTTTATAATCGGTGGAAGCCAAAAACATAATTGAGATTAAAATTCGATTAATTGCACAGCCCTATGTTGATGCGCTGCACACATTTGTTTTTATATCACAATTTATATTTGGGCTATCTGGGT